GGAGTCACCCCAAAATAGGATTGGGGTTACCTCGAAAATAGGATTGAGGTCACCCCAAAAACGGGATTGGGGTTATCCCAACAATGGGATTGGGGACACCTCAAAAATGGGATTGGAGTCACCCCAAAAACAGGATTGGAGTCACCTCAAAAACGGGATTGGAGTCACCCCAAAAACAGGATTGGAGTCACCCCCACCCCAAAAACGGGATTGGAGTCACCCCAAAAACAGGATTGGAGTCACCCCAAAAATGGGATTGGAGTCACCCCAAAATAGGATTGGGGTCATCCCAAAAACGGGATTGGAGTCATCCCAATATGGGATTCGGGTTACCTCGAAAATAGGATTGGGGTCACCCAAAAACGGGATTGAGTCACCCCAAAAACGGGATTGGAGTCACCCCAAAAACGGGATTGGGGTTACCTTGAAAAAACAGGGATTGGGGTCACCCCAAGAACAGAATTGGGGATATCCCAAAAATGGGACTGGGGACACCTTGAAATGGGGATTGGGGTCAGTCCAAAAATGGGACTGGGGACATCCCAAAAATGGGATTGGGGTTACCCCAAAAAATGGGATTGGGGACATCCCAAAAATGGGATTGGGGTCAGTCCAAAAATGGGACTGGGGACATCCCAAAAATGGGATTGGGGTCAGTCCAAAAATGGGACTAGGGTCACCCTAAAAATGAGGGGTTGGGGGAGATTGGGGTCATTTTGGGGATGTTTTGGGTGAGGTTTGGGGCTAAATTTTGGGGGTTTAGTGTCAGAATTTGGGGACTATTTTGGGTATCATCAGAGCAGGGAGTGTGGTGTTTTTGGGGTCAGGTTTGGGTGGTTTTGGGGCTGGTTTTGGGATGGTTTGGGGTTTTGGGGGGCAGGTTTGCAGCTAATTTTGGGGTTGTTTTGGGGATGTTTTGGGGTCAGGTTTGGAGCTGATTTTGGGGGTGGTTTGGGGGGTGTTTTGGGGGTACGGGGCAGGCAGTGTGGCGTTTTTGGGGTCAGGTTTGGGTGATTTTGGGGCTAATTTTGGGGATGTCCTGGGGATGTTTTTGGGGATGTTTTGGGGCGTTTTTGGGGTCAGGTTTGGGGATGTTTTTGGGGGTATTTTGGGGGATGCTTTGGGGCGTTTTTGGGGTCAAGTTTGGGGATGTTTTTGGGGATGTTTTGGGGTGTTTTTCGAGTCAGGTTTGGGGATGTTCTGGGGTTTTTGGGGATGTTTGAGGATGCTTTTGGGGCTGTTTTGGGGATGTTTGGGGCTGGTTTTGGGGGTGAGGTTTGGGGATGTTTTTGGGGATGGTTTTGGGGTGTTTTTAGGGTGTTTTTGGGGTACCCACGGGGCAGGCTGTGTGGTGGTTTTGGGGATGTTTGGGGCTGTTTTGGGGAAGTTTTTGGGGTACGCACGGGGCAGGCGGCGCGGGCCCCGCCGCGGGGGGGTCTCGTCGATCTGCAGCTCCTCCTCCGAGTCCAGGTCCAGGGGGGAGCTGGGGGGGGAGCAGGGGGGGGGATGGGGGCGGCCGGGACCCCCAGAGCCCCCCAGGGCGGCTGCGGCGGGGGCCTGAGGGGGAGGGGTGTCAGGGGGACCCCCCCGAACCCCAAAACCCATCCCTGATTCCCCCAATCCATCCTGGAGCCCCTGACCCCAAAATCCATCCTGGATCCTCTCAAAACCCATCCCAAACTCCCCCAAAATCCATCCCTGACCCCCCCAAAATCCATCCTGGACCCCCTGAACCCCAAAATCCATCCCTGACCCCCCCAAAATCCATCCTGGACCCCCTGAACCCCAAAATCCATCCCTGACCCCCCCAAAATCCATCCTGGACCCCCTGAACCCCAAAATCCATCCCTGACCCCCCCCAAAATCCATCCTGGACCCCCCCCAAACCCCTCTGGAACTCATCCCTGACCCCCCAGTTCCCCCCAAAACCACCCAAGAACCCACCCAGGTCCCCCCAAAATCGTTCGGGTTCCCCCCTAAGTCTCTCCCAGTCCCCCTGGGGCCCCCCAAATTCTCTCAGGGACCCCCCCAAACCCCCCCAGTTCCTCACCGAGACCCCCCATTGGCCAGCAGGATCTGGGGGTCCCCCTCGGAGTCGGGGTCTGTCTCCTCCGGGCTGGAGCTGGGGGGATCAACCTGGGGGGGGACACCCAAAGATTTGAGGGGAGGGGACCCCAAATCCAGCCCCCAAGCCCCCCCCAATCCACTCCTCCCCCATATCTGCTCCTCCAGTTCCTCCCAGTGCCCCCCAGTCCCCTCACCTCCTCATCCTCCTCTTGGGGTGCTGGGGGGGGGTTCAGGGTCCCCCCATCGTCGTGAGTGCGGGGAGTTGGGGGGCGGCTTGCGGGGCCCCCCCCTTTTTGGGGCCTGGGACCCCCCAGGGGGGCCCAAAGGGGGTCCCCGACATCCCCGTGCTCTGCTGGAACAGCTCCTGTGGGGAGGGGATACAAAGCTCCCAGTATGTCCCAGTATGGGCCAGTGCCTCCCAGTAACCCCAAAATCTCCTCAAACCCCTCCCAGTGCCTCCCAGTAACCCCAAAATCTCCTCAAACCCCTCCCAGTCCCTCCCAGTAACCCCAAAATCTCCTCAAACCCCTCCCAGTAACCCCGAAACCTCCTCAGAACCCTTCCCAGTCCCTCCCCAGTCACTCCCAGTAACCCCGAAACCTCCTCAAACCTCTCCCAGTGGCCCCTCTGTTCCCCCATTTGCTCCCAGTCCCTTCCCAGTACACTTGAAATCCCTCCCAGTGCCCTCCCCAGTCCATCTCAGTCCCTCCCAGTCATTCCCAGTTGCTCCCAGTGCTCCCAGTTCACCTCTGCCAGCCGGATCTCCCTGCCCAGTTCCTTGATCAGCTGCCCCGGCCGGACGGTCTCGGGGATCTCCTGCTCGTGCTCTGCCAGGACCTGGGGGTGAAAGGGTTAAAATGGGGGGGACCCCTCCAAAACTGGGGAACCCCAAAACCTCCCACCCCTGGGACCCCTCCAGAGCACCCCAAAATCCCTTGGAACATCCCCAAATTCGCTTTGAGACCCCCCCCCAAAACTGCTCGGGACCCCCCCAAAATCCCTTTGGATCCCCAAAAACTTCTTGGGACCTCCCCAAAACCCCTCTGGAGCCCCCAAAATCCCTATGCACTCCCCAATCCCCCTGGATCCCCCCAAAACCCCATGGGACCTGTCCAAAATCCCTTGGAAACCCCCCCCAAAACCCCTTGGGACCCCGGCAAAACCCCTCAGGACCCTCCCAAATCACCCTGGAGCCCCCCAAAACCCCTCGGGACCTCCCCAAAACCCCTTAGGATCCCCCAAAATCCCTTAGGCCCCCCCCAAAATCGCTTTGGACCCACCCAAAACCCCCTGGAGTCCCCCAGATCCCTCTAGACCCCCCAAAACCCCTCAGGAACCCCCAAAACCCCTCAGGAACCCCCAAAAACCCCCTCAGGATCCCCCAACCTCTCGGCGGGTCCAGGCTCGGAAGGCCCCGGTCAGGGCTCGGGCTCCCAGCACCAAATAGGCCGCGGGGTGCCGGCGGTTCTCCCTCAGCCCTGCACCCCAAAAACCCCAAAAAAACCTCAGGTTGGGATGGAACCATCAAATCATCATGGGAACCACAGGGACACCCCAAAAAAATGGAAGAAGAACCATCAAACCAGTGTGGGAACCACAAGAACACCCCAAAAAATGGGATAGGAATAATGAAACCAGTGTGGGAGCCACAGGGACACCCCAAAAAAATGGGATGGGAATCATCAAATCAGCGTGGGAACCACAGAGACACCCCAAAAAATGGGATGGGAATCATCAAATCAGCGTGGGAACCATAGGGACACCCCAAAATCAGGATGTGAAACTCAGAGACACCCCAGAAATCGGGGATGGGACCTCCAGACGCCTCTTGGGGGGCATTTGGGGATCCCCAACTGCCCCAGACGGGTTTGGAGCCCCCCCCCAGACGGATTTCAAGCCCCTCCAGGTGGGTTTGCAGCCCCCCCCAAGCCCCCTCAGTTGGGTTTAAACCCCCCCCAGATGGGTTCAAAGCCCCCTAAATTGGGTTTGGGTTTAAACGCCCCAGGATAGGTTTAGAGCCCCCCCAAATGAATTTAAACCCATCCAGACAAGTTTAAACCCCACCCCTGGTGGCTTCCCAGCCCCCCAGTTTAGAGTTTAGAGCCCCCACAGAGGGGTTCAAACCCCCCCCAGTTGGGTTTAAAGCACCCCCAGACAGGTTTTAACCCCCCTAGGTGGGTTTAACGCCCCCCAGATGGGTTTAAGGCCCCCCCAGGTGGGTTTTAACCCCCTCAGATGGGTTTAAGGCCCCCCCAGGTGGGTTCCCAGCCCCCTCAGACAGCCTTTAACCTCCCCAGTTGAGTTTTGAACCCCCCAGGTGGGTTTAGAGTCCCCACAGATGGGTCTTAAGCACCCCCAGATGGCTTCAAACACCCCCTAGAAAGGTTTTAACCCCCCCCAGGTGACTTCCCAGCCCCCCCAGATAGGTTTTAAGCCCCCCAGGTGGGTTTAAGGCCCCCCCAGGTGGGTTCAAACCCCCCCTAGAGAGGTTTTAACCCTCCCAGGTGTGCTCCCAGCTCCCTCAGGTGGGTTTAAAGCCCCTCCAGGTGGGTTTAAGGCCCCCCCAGATGTGTTCCAAACCCCTCCAGGTGTGCTGCCAGCCCCCCAGGAGGGGCACCCACCTCGGAAGGTGTCCAGCAGGTGCCTCCCCACGTACCAGCAGACGGTTTCAAAATTGGGGAATTTGGCCAGGTCGGGGGTGTTGAGGCGGCGCTGCAGCTCGTACGCCCTGGGGGGGGTTTTGGGGGTTCAGGGGGGGGGGCTTTGGGGGGGTCATAGGCACCCCACAGCACCTGAAATCTTCCCTGCACCCCAAAACTCTCGCCCAGCCCCGCCAAATCCCCTCCCCAAACTCTCTAATCCCTCCCTCATCCCCCTCAATTTCCCCCAAGCCCCCCAAACTCTCCCCAAATAAACCCCCAAAGCCCCCCAAATCCCTTCAAAACCCAAAAACACCCCCAGAACCCTTCCAAAGCCCCCCAAATCCCCTCCCTGCCCCACCCAAACCTTTAAAAAAACCCCAAACCCTCACCCAGCTCCCCCCAAATCCCCTCCCCAAACTCTCCCTCATCCCCCTCAATTTCGCCCCAAACTCTCCCCAAAGACACTCCCAAAACCTCCCCCAAAGCCCCTCAAAACTCAAAAACACTCCTAAAACTCTCCCAAAATCCCCAAAGCCCCTCCCTGCCTCCCCCAAACTCCCCTCAAACCTTTAAAAAACCCCAAAACCCTCACCCAGCCCCCCCAAACTCTCTCAAAAAATGCCCCCAAACCTGTTCAAATCCCCAAACTCTTCCAAAAGCCCCCCCAAACTCTCCCCAAACCTTTTAAAAACCCCCAAACCCTCCCAAAAGCCCCCCCAAAAATCCCCCAAACCTTTTAAAAACCCCCAAACCCTCCCAAAAGCCCCCCCCAAGCCCCTCCCCAGCCCACCGGAGCTGCATGCCGATGTTGAGGCTGTGCAGGAAGTGCCCCCCAAAAGCCAGCGAGTCCACGGGGGTCAGCACGGCGTGGATCCAGCCTGGGGACACACACACGCAACTGGGAGAACTGGGAGCACTGGGATGGGGCACTGGGGGCACTGGGAACACTGGGATGGGGCACTGGGAGCACTGGGATGGGGAACTGGGGGAACTGGGATGGGGCACTGGGGGAACTGGGAGCACTGGGATGGGGCACTGGGGGCACTGGGAGCACTGGGATGGGGCACTGGGAACACTGAGATGGGGCGTTGGGAGCACTGGGAGCACTGGGATGGGGCACTGGGGGAACTGGGAGCACTGGGATGGGGCACTGGGGGAACTGGGAGCACTGGGATGGGGCATTGGGAGCACTGGGAGCACTGGGATGGGGCACTGGGAGCACTGGGATGGGGCAATGGGGAACTGGGAGCACTGGGATGGGGCACTGGGGGCACTGGGATGGGGCACTGGGGGAACTGGGAGCACTGGGATGGGGCATTGGGAGCACTGGGAGCACTGGGATGGGGCACTGGGGAACTGGGATGGGGAACTGGGAGAACTTGTCTGACCCTCACCAGGAGATGCTGGGGAAGTCCCTTAGGTCACCAAACCCTCACCTGGTGGCACAGGTGACACTGGGGGTGTGTTTGGGGTCTGGCACAGCTGGCACAGGTGACACTGGGGTGTCACCTGTTTGGGTTTAGGGGTTTGGCCCTGGCACAGGTGACACTGGAAATGTCCGTCCCTTGCACAGGTGACACTGCAGGAGTGTTTGGGGTCTGTCCCTTGCACAGGTGACACTTGGGGTGCGTTTGGGGTCTGGCACAGGTGACACTGAGGATCTCTGCCCCTTGCACAGGTGACACAAGTGACACTGAGGGTGTCTGCCTTAAAAAGATGACACTGCGGGTGTGTTTGGTGTCTGGCACAGGTGCCACCACGGTTGTGCCCAGGTGTCCCGAAGGCCCCCCTCACCTGTGCGGGTGAAGAGGGTCTGGCACAGGTGACACTGGGGTCACGTTTGGGGGTCTGTCCCTTGCACAGGTGACACTGGGGGTGTGTTTGGGGGTCTGTCCCTTGCACAGGTGACACTGGGGTCACGTTTGGGGGTCTGTCCCTTGCACAGGTGACACTGGGGGTGTGTTTGTGGGAGTCTGACCCTGGCACAGGTGACACTGGGGTCACGTTTGGGGGTCTGACCCTGGCACAGGTGACACTGGGGGTGTGTTTGGGGGTCTGTCCCTTGCACAGGTGACACTGGGGTCACGTTTGGGGGTCTGACCCTGGCACAGGTGACACTGGGGGTGTGTTTGGGGGTCTGACCCTGGCACAGGTGACACTGGGGGTGTGTTTGGGGGTCTGTCCCTTGCACAGGTGACACTGGGGGTGTGTTTGTGGGAGTCTGACCCTGGCACAGGTGATACAGGTGACACTGGGGGTGTGCTTGGGGACAGTTTGACCGTAGTACAGGTGACAGAGGTGACACTGGGGGTATGTTTGGTGTCCGGCACAGGTGTCCCCGAGGTCGTGCCCAGGTGTCCCCAAGCCCCCCTCACCTGTGGGGATGAAAAGGGTCTGGCCCTGGCGCAGGTGGCACCGGAAGCACCGATCCACCTGGTCCCCGAAGAAGAGCTCGGGCTGGTTCCGGGAGCTGCTCCAGGCCTCGAACAGCGCCAGGTTGGCGGCCGAGGGACGCGCCAGGTAAAAGATCTGCTCACCCTGGGGCACAGGTGAGGGGGGGCAGGTAAGAGCACCAGGTTTCATTCCCCCAAAAATCCCCCAAACATCCCCTAAAACCCCCAAAATCCCCTCTACAAGCCCCTAAATCCTCCTAGACCCCTGGAGGAGCCCCCCTCATACCCTGAGCATGAGGTACCAGGCTGAGGTGCCTCCACAGCTGATGTGGAAATCAGTGTAGCTCAACACTCCCAACCCAAATCACCCCAAAAATCCCCCAAATCCCCTCTAAAAACCACCTAAACCCCCCCCAGATTCCTGGAGAGCCCCTCCTTGTACCCTGAGCACGAGGTACCAGGCCAAGGTACCCCCTCAGTCAATGTGGAAGTCAGTGTAGTCCAACACCCTCAGCTCCAATTACCCCAAAAATCCCCCAAATACCCTCTAAAAACCCCTAAACCTCCCCAGATTCCTGGAGAACCCCGCCTCATACCCTGAGCATGAGGTACCAGGCCAAGGTGGCCCTACAGTCAATGTGGAAGTCGCTGTAGCCCAACACACCCAGTCCCAATTGCTCCAAATCCCCTATAACTCCCCCCAAATCCCCTTTAAGTGGCCCCAAAATCCCCTATAACTGCCCCCAAATCCCCTACAATTCCCCTCAAATCTCCTATACCCCCCTAAATCTCCTCCAAACCCTCCTCGTACCTTGAGCACGTGGTACCAGGCTGAGGTGACCGCACAGTCGATGTGGAAGCCGCTGTAGCCCAACACCCCCAACCCCAATTCCCCTATGACCCTCCCAAATCCCCTATAACTGTCCCCAAATCCCCTACAACCACCCCAAATTCCCTCCAAATCCCCCCTCGTACCTTGAGCACGTGGTACCAGGCCGAGGTGCCCCCCGCAGTCGATGTGGAAGTCGCTGTAGCTGTCCTTGGCCCCCATCAGGCAGAACTTCTGCACGCTCGGCCGCTCCCGCGCCGATTCCCCCGGCCACAGGTTCTCCACCCACGAGAGCTTCCGCACGATCCGCGGGGTCTGCACCAGGTTGGACAGCCTGGGGAACCCCAAAAATGGGGGTCAGGGGGTGGGGAACCCCCCCATGGGGCATAGGGTTCCTCAGGGGGGACAGGATGCAGCGGGGGACGCTGGGGAGGGGCAGGATCTGGGATTTTGGGGTGCTTGGGGGCAGGATCTGGGATATTGGGGGGCAGGATCTGGGATTTTGGGGGTCATTAGGGGAGATGATTTGGGATTTTGGGGGTACTTGGAGGGCAGGATCTGGGATTTTGGGGGTACTTAGAGAGCAGGATTTGGGATTTTGGGGGTACTTGGAGGGGGCAGGATCTGGGATTTTGGGGGTATCTGTGGTTGGAGGAGGGAAGGAGGAAGCTCTGGGATTTTGGGGATCCCTGGGGTTGGAGAAGGAGGGAAGGGGAGGCACTGGGAGCACTGGGAAGGACTGGGAAAGATCGGGCGGCACTGGAAGGAACTGTGAGTTACTGGGAGCCCTGGAAGGAACTGGAAGTTACTGGGCGCACTGGGAAGAACTCGGGGTTACTGGCAGCACTGGGAGGAACTGGGAGCACTAGGAAGCACTGAGAGGCACTGGGAAGGACCAGGCAGCACTGGATGGAACTGGGAGTTCCTGGTAGCACTGGGAAAGGAACTAGGCAGGACTGGGAGCACTGGGAGGCACTGGGAGCATTGGGAAGGGACTAGGAGTTACTGGGAGCACTGGGAAGGACCAGGCAGCACTGGATGGAACTGGGAGGCACTGGGAGCATTGGGAAGGGACTGGGAGCTACTGGGAAGGGACTAAAAAAGGGACTAGGCAGGACTGGGAGCACTGGGAGTTACTGGGAGGCATTGGGAAGGGACTAGGCAGGACTGGGAGGCACTGGGAGCACGAGGAAGGACTGGGAAGGGACTGGGCAGGACTGGTAGCACTGGGAACACTGGGAAGGACTGGGAGCACTGGGAAGGGACTGGGCAGGACTGGGAGCACTGGGAAGCACTGGGAAGGACTGGGAGCACCGGGACCCACCGTGTGTCCGAGAACTCCAGGCCGGTGACGCTGAGCACGCGCTCGCGCCGGGGCCCCCCCAGGTAGGCCACGAAGTCCCCGAGGCGCATGCGCAGCTCGGCCTGGCGGCCCACGTCCAGCACGGCCACCACCTTGTCAGCTCCTGCGGGCCCCAGAACCGCCTGAGCGCCCCAAAAACGGCCGGGGGGACCCCAAAAACCCCCCCAAAAACTCTCTGCGGGCCCCAGAATCGCCCGAGATCCCCAAAAACGGCCAGGGGGCCCCCAAAAACTCCCCAAAACTGCCTCAGCACCTCAGCCACCACCTTGTCAGCTCCTGCGGGCCCCAGAACCGCCTGAGCGCCCCAAAAACGGCCAGGGGGACCCCAAAAACCCCCCCAAAAACTCTCTGCGGGCCCCAGAATCGCCCGAAATCCCCAAAAACGGCCAGGGGGCCCCCAAAAACTCCCCAAAACTGCCTCAGCACCTCAGCCACCACCTTGTCAGCTCCTGCGGGCCCCAGAACCGCCTGAGCACCCCAGAAACGGCCAGGGGGACCCCAAAACTGCCTCAGCACCCCAGAAACTACCCGGGGGACCCAAACGCCCCCCAAAATCTCTCTGTGGGCCCCAAAATTGCCTCAGCACCCCAGAAATGGCTTGGGAGACCTCAAAACCCCCCCAAAACCTCCCTGCGTGCCCCAAAGACCCCCTCAAAACCTCTCTGTGGGCCTCAAAACTTCCCTGAGCACCCCAAAACAGCTGGGGGGACCCCAAAATCTCTCTGAGCACCCCAAACCCTGAATAAGGACCCTCTGGACCCTCACCCATCCCCCCCAGGACCCCCCAAAACAGTGTAAGAAACCAACAAGGAGATGATGTTACAGGGGGGACCTTGCCCCTTTTATGGGGTCCTGGGGACCCCCCAGACATCCCCATGCACCCCAAATCATGAATGGGGACTCCCTGGACCCTTACTTGTCCCCGCAAGACCCCTCGAAAGAGTGCAAGGGGTGAAGTTATAGGGAGGACCCTGCCCCTATTGTGAGGTCTTGGGGATCCCCCAATGCCCCCAGCCCCCCCCCAAAGCCCCCCAGGACCCCCTCAAAAGCCCCCCCAAACTGACCAACGTGGTGCAGGACGTCGCGGGGGGTGAAGGACGAGGGGGGCAGGGTCATGCCCAGCCCCTCGTGCCGTGCCACCAGGATGGGCACGCTGAAGCTGTTCTCCTCCAGGTACTCCACGGTCAGCTGGGCCCCGCTGGGCCGGAGCAGAACCTCGTCCGCACTGTGGGGGCAAAGTAGGGGGGTGTGAGACCCCCAGGAGTGACCCCAGACCCCCACAGGGACCCCAGACCCCCACAGGGATCCCCCAAACCCTGAGCACTTGCTGGGCTGCAGAAGCACCTCGTCCGCCCTCGGGGGGCAGAGCAAGGGGGTGAGACCCCCAGGAGTGACCCCAGACCCCCACAGGGACCCCCGGACGCACCCTCCAATTCCTACAGGGATCCCCCAACCCCCTGAGCATTTGCTGGGCCGGAGCAGAAGCTCGTCCGCACTGGGGGGGGCAGAGCAGGGGGGTGTGAGACCCCCAGGAGTGACCCCAGACCCCCACAGAGACCCCCCAGTTCCTACAGGGACCTCCAGTTCCTGACTACTTGCTGGGCCACAGCAGCATCTGGTCCACGTTGGGGGGACAGTGCAGGGAGGGTGAGACCCCCCCCCCAGAGTGACCTCAGACCCCCCAGGGGCCCCCCAATCCTTACAGGGACTTCCCAATTCCTATAGGGACCCCCAGTTCCTGACCATTTGCTGGGCTGCGGCAACACCTAGTCCACACTGGGGGGACAGTGCAGGGAGGGTGAGACCCCCCCCAAGAGTGACCAACACCCCCAGGGAGTGACCAACATCACTCAGAACTGACCAACATCACCCAGAACTGACCAACAGCCGCTGAGAGTGACCAACAACGCTCAGGACTGACCAACAGTCCCTGGGAGTCACCAACATCACCCAGGACTGGCCCTCACTGAGAATGACCAACACCCAGCACTGACCATCACTGGCACTGACCCACACCTGCCCCTGCCCTCACCTGGCACTAACCCACACTGGCACTGACCCACGCCTGTCCCTGCCCTCACCTGGGGAAGGTGCGGCCCCGCAGCTCCCGGATGAACTGGGCACTGCCCGTGCGGGCCGGACGGCCGGGATCCTGCTCTGGGGCCTTGGCCGGACCACGGCGCCGCTTCACTGTGGGACAGAGGGACACGGTGGGGACACACAGGGACAGAGGGACACGGTGGGACAGAGGGACACGGTGGGGACACACAGGGACACATGGGGAAAGAGAGACAGGGACACGGTGAGGACACACAGGGACAAAGCAACACAGTGGGGACAGAAGGACACACAGAGACATACAAGGACACGGTGGAGACAGAGAAACATGATGGGGACACACAGGCACAGAGGAACACGGTGGGGACACACAGGGACAGAGGAATACGGTGGGGACGCACAGGGACAGAGGGACATGGTGGGGACAGGGATGGGCAGGGACACACAGGGACTCCAGGGACAGGGGGACACGGTGGGGACACACAGGGACACAACAGGGACAGGGGACACAAGGACAAACAAGGAACCAGGGACAGAGAGACATGGGGGGGGGGGTCCACAGGAAGCCTGGAGCATCTCCCCCCCCCCCCCCCCCCCCATCCCAGTGCATCCCAGTCCCCCTCACTGACAGAGAACTCTCAGTCCCCTCCATCCCAGTCCCTCCCAGTCCCCCCAGCCCCACTCACTGACAGAAGGCCCCCTGAGCACGGCGCACTGGGGGCAGTGGTACAGGTCGATCTCCGCCGCCGCCTCCTCCTCCACCCCCACGCAGCTGTGGGGACACCCCAGTAACTCCCAGTGCCTCCCACTAACCCCCAGTGCCTCCCAGTAACCACCAGGCACCTCCCCAGTAACCCCCATCACACCCCAGAACTCGCTTTGTAACTCCCAGACCTTCCCCGTACCCCGTAGCCCCCCCCAGACTTCTCCCAGTGCCCTCCAGTTCCACCCAGGCTTCTCCCAGTACCCCCTCAAGTTCCTTCCAGTATTCCTGGACTTCTCCCCAGTCCCCTCAGGCACCCTTCAGATGCTTCCCAGTACCTCCCAAACTTATCCCAGTCACCCCCAGTACCCCCAGTCCCCCCCCCACCCAGTGCCTCCCAGATACCTCCCAGCATCTCCCAGATGCCTCCCAGTCCCCTCCAGCAGCTCCAGATGCCTCCCACTACTCCCAGTCGTCCCCCCCAGCCTTGTTCCAGTGCTCCCAGTCCCCCCCAGTACCCCCAGTCCTCCCCCCAGTGCCTCCCAGATACATTCCAGTTCTTCCCAGTGCCTCCCACTACCCCCCAGTCCCATCGCACTACTCCCCAGACCCCCCCAGCCCCATCCCAGTGCTCCCAGTCCCCCCCCCCACCCAGTCCCTCCCAGTGCTCCCAGTCCCACCTGCCATGGAACCAGTCCTGGCAGCCATCGCACTCGATCATGAAGCGGGTCACATCGTAGGGCAGGCGGCACAGGCAGTACACGGGCACCGAGGCCATGGCCGGGCCCCCGGGGCGACCCCCGACCCTACGGACCCCCGCGACCCCCCCCGGCCCGGGACATCCGCGCGCCGCCCGCCGGACCCCCGAAAATCCCCTCAAAAATAAGAAAAAACCGATCCAAAAAGCACCCTCAAGAACACCCCAAAAGCAGCCTCAAAAAAAAAAAAACCAAAACAGCCTCAAAATCCCCCCCAGAACAGCCTCAGCAAAACCCCAAAAAAAGCCTCAAAAAACACCCCAAAAACACCCCTCAAAACAACTCCCTCAAAAAAAAGAACCCAAAAACGAACCTCTCGTCTGCTCCCCTAAAAACATCCCCAAAGCCCCCCCAAAATGCGGACTGCGGAGGGCCCTGAGGGGAATTGGGGAGCACGACCCCCCAAAAAATCCTAAATGGGCCGGGGCACCCCAAAAGGGCCTGCGGAGACTTGGGATCCCCCTCAGGTATTGATGAGGGCCCGAGACCTCCCCAAAAGGGTCTAGAGGTGATAAGAGACCCCTCCAAGGGTCACCAGGGCTCTGGGACCCCTTCCCCGATGTTTTATAAGGCCCAGAGCCCCCCAAAAACGCGCCCACAGGGTCTCCCCCAGCCCCTATAGCGTGTGGGGACCCCCAAAAGTGCCGCAGGGCCCGGGGTCCCTTCACAGCGTCCGTGGGGTCTCGGCCGCCACCTCCCCGCGCGCTGCGAGGTCCCCGAGATCCCCCCAAAGACCCGCGGGACCCCCTAAAAGCTTCGGGGATCCCCAAAAAGCCGCCGACCCCCCCTCAAGGCCGGTGGGACCCCCACGAGGCCTGCGGGACGCCGCGAGGCCTGCGCCCCCCCCACCGCCACCTCCCGACTAGGCCGCAGCCCGCCCCGGCAAGGCCCAGCGCTTCTCGCGGCCGCTCCTCCGCCGCCGCCCGGTCGCCGCCGCCGCTGCCGGCCCCAGGCCCGGTGCTGCCGCCGCCGCCACGGCCTCTGCGCGCTCCGGGCCGCCCGGGAAAGTTTTATTCAAACGCGGAAACGGGGAGGGAGAGGGCGGGGCCCGGACGCCATTTTGGCCGCGTCGCGCCGCCATCTTGGGAAGGGCGAGGGCGCCATTTTGGGAAGGACGGAACGCCCCCCCACCCCCACCCCACCCCCCCCCCCCGTTGGGTGTGCGGGGGCGGGGCCGCCATCTTGGGCGTGGCGCCGCCGTCGCCAGGCTGAGTGTGGCGGGTCCGGCCGCCATTTTGGGAGTGGCGCGCACCAGCCACGCTTTTCTTTCTTAAATTTTAGGATTTTCTTTTTTTTTCTCGCGCTTTTTAACAATTTCCCCGCAAAACAAACGCCTTCCCCACCCTCTCGAACCAGAACACCCGAGAATTCACCCCGAAATCTCACTGGCTTGGTGAAGGGGTGAGGTAGATGAGCGGAAAACACGACAAAATGACCCAAAAATGGGCTGAGGGAGGGGTACAGGAATGAGAGGGGGTTGTTGCACCAGTATGACCAGTATAGGGGGGGTGGGTCACCAGTAAAACCAGTACAGCTCACTCCCCTCCACTGAGGTCACGTGTGGGGGAATTCCAGGCCTGTGAGGGGCTTCGGGTGAAAAATGGGAATTTTGGGGGCTTTGGAGAGTTTTGAGGGAAAAAAAGGAATTTTGGGATAAATGAGAAACTGGGGTTCAACTTTTTGTGTTTTGGAGCAAACAATGCCGTTTGGGGGTTAAAAATTGGGGTCACTGTGTGGGGACAAAAAGAGCTGAAAGGCCCAAAAAAAGGGATTTTTGTGTGAAATGAGGAGATTATGGGGCTGAAGACTGGGGTGATATCCTGAGGGGGAAGGGTAGGTCCTAAAAGAGATTTTTTTGGGGTGAAATGATGCAATTTGGGGAGCAAAAAGTGGGGTAATGTGAGAGGGGTAAAAAAAGGGGAGATAGGCCCAAAAAAGGGGTTTTGGGGTGAAACAAGGCAATTTTGGGGCCAACAAGTGGCATCACATTCAGGGAGTGTGAAAAAGAGGGGCGGAAAGGCCACAAAAAAGGAGATTTTTGGGGTGAAATGAGGTGATTTGGGGGCTAAAAAATGGTGTCACCTCATGCAGAGGGGGAAAGACCCAAAAAGGAGATTTTTGGGGTAAAATGGGGGATTTGGGGCAGAAAATTGGGGCGGGCAGGGCACAAAAAAGGGAAGTTTTGGAGTAAAATTAGGGTATTTTGGGCACCAGAAAGTGAGGTCACCTTTCAAAGGGGGAATGAGCCAAAAAAGGTGGGGTTGGGATAAAATAGAGATTTTGAGGCCAAAAAGGAGAGATTTGGGGTCAAAATGAGGTGGTTTTGGGACCAGAAATTGGGAGGGTTGAGTATCCTAAAAAGGGGATTTGGGGAGTGAATTGAGGCCAAAAAGTGAGTTCAGCCCATAGGGGCAGCAAAAAAAGGGAAATTTTAGGGCAAAATAAGGTAATTTTGGGGCCAGAAACAGGGGTCACACCACAGGACCCAAAAGAAGGGGAATTTTGGGGTGAAAGGAGGTCATTTTAGGGCTAGAAATTTGGGGTCACCCAATGGGAGGGGGTTAAACAAGGGGCTTTTGGGGGGAAACAAAGTGATTTAGGGGCTGGAAATTGGTTTTGACCCAAAACAGGGGGGGTTTGGGGGGGTCAGGGTCCAGGGACCCCCCCTCACTCAGCCCCCGGGGGGAGGGGGCTGCCCCCCCCACGCAGGACAGGTTTGGGGGGGGGGCAGCTCCCCCCATTTTCGGGGGGTCCCACGGGTGCCGCGCAGGGTGGAGACCCACGAGGAGGTGGCCTGGGGGAAGGGGAAAGGGAAAAAATGGGGGTTCAGGTTTTGGGGATCCCTCCCAGACCCCCAAAAAGGGGGTGAAGGGAACCCCCAGCTCCCCCAAACCCCCAAAAAATGAGCGTGGGAACCCCCCCAAACACCAAAAAAGGGAGTTCAGGGTTCCTCCCCAAGCCATGCCAGCCCCCCAAGATGCTCCCAGCCCCCCAAAAATGAGGTGGAGCCCCCCAAAAGATCCACCCATATCCCCAAAAAGGGGGTTTAGCTTCCCACCCAACCCCAGACCCCCAAAAATGGGGTGCAGGTCCTCTCCAGCCCCCCAAAATCCCTTGAGCCCCCCAAAAATGGGGAGCACTCCTCCTCAGCCCCGCAATAGCCATCTCAGGCCACCCAAAAAATCCCCTCAGATCCCTAAAAATGGGACAAAGGGCCCCCAAAAAGGGAGTGCAGGCCTCCCAGCTCCCCCCAAACAATCCAGCCCACCAAAAATCCCCAGAGCCCCCCTAAAATGGGGCAGGGAGCCATTCCAGCCCCCCAAAATCTTCCCCACCTGGGCCCTGGCCGTGTCCTGGACCCACTCATCCACCAGCCGGTGCAGGTCGTCGGTGAAGAGCCCCTTTTTTGGGGGGGCCGGGGGGGTCGGGGGGCCCGGGGAGGGGGCTGAGGCCTCTGCAGGTGAGGGAGAGGAGTTTGGAAATAGGGAGACCCACCTGCACCTCAAAACCTTCTCTTTTCACCCCAAAACCTGCACCCCCAAAATCCCTCCCTGCACCCCAAAATCCACCCCTTTTACCCCTACCCCAAAATCCCCCCTTTGCGCCCCAAGATCCTCTTTTTTCACCCCTTTTGCATCCCAAAATCCTCCCTTTGTACCCCAAAACCTCCCTTTTTTACCCCAACCCCAAAATCCCCCCTTTGCACCCCAAACTCCATTTCACATCCCAGAATCCCCCCTTCGTACCCCAAAACACCCCTCCTCCTCCACCCCAAAATCCTTCCCTGCACCCCAAAACCTCTTTTTTACCCCAACCCCCCTCCTCCACCCCAAAATCCCCCCTTTGTACCCCAAAACCACACTCGTCCTGCACCCCAAAATCCCTCCCTGCACCCCAAAACCTCCCTTTTTTACCACAACCCCCAGTCCCCATCCCAAAATCCCCCCTTTGTACCCCAAAATCCCCTCCTACCCCCCCAAAATCCCCCCTTTGTACCCCAACCCCCCCCCCTTTGCCCCCCAAAATCCCCTCCTTTCCCCCCAAACCTGTCAGGGCCACGCCCCGGCCCCTCCCTCGCGCCCGGGCCCCCCGAGGCCGCCGCGGGGACCCCCCATGGCCTCGCTGGGGGGGGGTCCCGCCGCCCCCTCCCCATTTCGGGGGGTCCCCCCGGGCCTCTTTGAGGGCTCGGAGCCGCCGGTGCAGCTCCCGCAGCTCCCGGTCCTGCCGTGCCCGCAGCTCCAGAACCTCCTGGATGTGCCTGGGGGGGCAGGGAGGGGTCACAGGGGGTCCCCAAACCCTCCTCAAGACCCCAAAAACCATTCCGGGACACCAAAAATTTCCCGGGACCCCCAAAACCTCCCTAGGACCCCCCCAAACTCCCCCAGAGAGCTGCACTGGTGGCTCCTGGGACCTCTTGAACATACTTGGAAGGTTCAGGGAGGTCACAGGGTGTCCCCAAACCCTGCCCAGGACCCCCAAAACCCTCCCAGAACCCCCAAAACCTTCCTGAGACCCCCAAAACCTCCCCAGGACTTCCAAAACTTCCCCAGGACCCCCAAAACCTCCCCAGGACTTCCAAAACCTCCCCAGGACCCCCCAAAACACCCCCAGGGTCCCAGTCCTGACACAGTGGCAGCTCCAGAACCTCCTGGATGTGGCCTGGGGGGGAATGGAGGGGGTCCCAAAACCCTTCCAGGGACCCCCAAAACCCTCCCAGGACCCCCAAACACTCCCCAAGACCCCTCAAACCCTCCCTAAGACCCCCAAAACCTCTCCAGGACCCCCAAAACGCCCCCAGGATCCACACTGGCAGCTCCAGCACCTCCTGGATTTGGCTGGGTAGGGTTGTGGGATGCCCCCAAACCCCTCCAAGCCCCCTTGGGACCCCTAAAACCTCCCCAGGACCCCCCAAATCCCCCCAAAAGCCTCCACAAAAGCCCCTCACTCACTTTTCCCGCAGCCGCCGCAGCTGCTCCCGCAGCGCCTCGTCCTCGGGCTCCGAGTCCCCATCGCTGCTCAGGGGGGTCTCGGGGGACCCCGGGGGGAGCAGGGGGGCTCCAGGGGGGTGCGGGGGTCCCCCCAGCCCCCCACTCTCGCTGCCCGAGCTGGGGCCCCCCCAGTCGCCCTCGGGGTCGGGGGGCTCGGGGGGTGGCTGGGGAGGGACAGGGGGAGAGAGGGGTGACAGGAGATGGGGGTGAAGGGAGGGTTGGGGGGGGATTTGGGGTGTCTGGGACAGTTTGGGGGGGGTCCCTGGGACAGATTTGGGGTCCCTGGGACAGATTTGGGGCAGTTTGGGGGTCCCTTGGGACAGTTTGGGGGTCTCTGGGGTAGTTCGGGGGGTCCCTGGGACAGATTTTGGGGTCTCTGGAGTTGTTTTGGGGTCCCTGGGGCAGTCTGGGGGTCTCTGGGGCAGTTTGAGGGGTCCCTTGGACCAGTTTGGGGGGGGTCCTGGGGCAAATTTGGGATCTCTGGGGTGGTTTGGGGGTCCCTGGGATAACTCTGGGGTCTCTTGGGGTAGTTCTGAGCTCTCTGGGGCAGTTTTGTGGGGGGTCTCTGTGGCAGTTTTAGGGTCCCAGGGGCAGATTTGGGGTCCCTGTGGGTTTTTGGGAGTCCCATTGGACCAGTTTGGGGGGGGGGGTCCCTGGGGAATTTTGGGGTCCCCAACACCCACCTGGCAGTGCCCTCGCCGTGAGGGGTCCCCGAGTTCCTCTGGCTCCTCTGTGGGACAGGGGGGTCAGTGGGGGGGGGCACACGGGGTAAATGGGGGTACAGGGGGATATGGGGGTGGAAATGGGGGTACAGGGGGGGCACGCAGGGGGTGGAAATGGGGGTCCCATGGGGGGCTACATGAAGGACCATGATTGGGGGGCACAGATGGGATTTAGGGGTGGGGGGGGCACAGATGGGGTTTAGGGGTACGGGCGAGCACAGATGGGATTTAGAGATATGGGGGGGCACAGATGGGGTTTAGGGGCACATGGGGGGCACAGATGGGATTTGGGGGTACATGGGGGGGCACAGATGGGGTTTAGGGGTACATGTGGGGCACAGATGGAGTTTAGGGGTACATGGGGGGCACAGATGGGGTTTAGGGGTACACAGGAGGGCACAGATGGGCTGTGGGTTTCCCCAGGGGTTCTGGGGTCCTCCCCATACCTGTGTGGGGGTCTCCCCCCCCAGACGGGGGGCGCAGGCGCCGGGCCCAGCTCTTGATGCGGCGCCCCCAGCCCTTGCGGGGGCTGCGCAGGCGCGGGCACAGCCCCAGCGGGAACGAGGCAGCCCCGGGCGGGGGGCGGGCGGGGGGCACGGCCTGCGGGATGGGAATGGGGTTGGGAATGTGGGGATATGGGAATGGGAATGTGGGGATATGGGAATGTGGGAATGTGGGGATATGGGAATGGGAATGTGGGAATGTGGGGATGGGATTGGAGGAATGGAAATATGGGAACGTGGGGATATGGGAATGTGGGGATATGGGAATGTGGGGATATGGGAATGTGGGAATGGGAATGTGGGAATGTGGGGATATGGGAATGTGGGGATATGGGAATGGGAATGTGTGAATGTGGGGATATGGGAATGTGGGGATATGGGAATGTGGGAATGGGAATGTGGGAATGTGGGGATATGGGAATGTGGGGATATGGGAATGGGAATGTGTGAATGTGGGGATATGGGAATGTGGGAATATGGGAATGGGAATGTGTGAATGTGGGGATATGGGAATGTGGGGATATGGGAACGGGATTGAGGGAATGGGAATATGGGAATGTGGGGATGGGAATGGGGATGGGAACAGGAATATGGGAATATGGGATCAGGAATGGGAATGGGATCGAGGATGGGAATATGGGAATGGGAACGGGAATAAGGGAATTGGAATATGGGAATGGGATTATGGGAATGTGGGGATGGGATCAGGAATGGGAATGGGAATATGGGAACGGGAATAAGGGAATTGGAATATGGGAATGGGAATATGGGAATATGGAAGTGGGGATGGGAATATGGGAATGTGGGAATATGGGAATGGGGATATAAGAATGGGAATATGGGAATGTGGGGATGGGAATGTGAGGATATGGGAATGGCGAAGGGAAATGGGAACGAGATTGGGATTGCGATTGGGAATGAGGATGGGAATATGGGAACGGGGATGGGAATGGGATCGGGATTGGGGATGGGAACAGGGCATCAGCACAGCCAGGGTACACCAGGATCAGCGAGGTCTTGGGGTTGAGTGTTTGGGGACACTGAGGTTTTGGGACTGGGGAGACACCAGGGCCTGGGGGCTGGGATCATCAAGATCTTAAGGTTTTGGGGGACATCAGGGTCTTGAGGTTGGGGATTTGGGGTCATCGGGCTCTTGGGATTTTGGGTTTGGGGGACACTGACATCTTGAGATTAAAGGGACATCAACAGCGTGGGGGTTTGGGTTTAGGGTCCTTGGGGTTTTGGAGCTGAGGGTCATCAAGGCCTCGGGGCTGGGGTTCTGGAGTCATTGGGGTTTGGGGTCAGGGACACCAAGGACTCAGGGTTTGGGAGACAGGCAGTTCGGGGCTGGGGACAGTCATTCCTGGTCTTTGGGGAACATCGAGGTCTTGGGGTTTGGGTTTGGGGGACACCAAAGTTCTGGGGATGGGGACAGTGGCCTCTGGTCCTTGAGGGGCACTGAGACCTTGGGGACTGGAGGACACCTGGAGTCAGGGGTGGGGAACACTCACCTCTGGTCCCGGGGGTCCCTCCTGCCCCCAAGCACCGGTGACAAGTGTCCCCAGTCCTTGGGAGTCACCTGGTGGCTCTGGGGCTCCAGTGACGATTGTCCCCAGTCCTTGGGGGTCACCTGGCTCTTGGGACACGTCCGGCTCTGGGGGCTCGGGCGGTTCCCTGGGTCCCTCCTGCTCCAATGGGGCAGTGACTGTCCCCTCTTCCTGGGGGACACCTGGCTCTGTGTCCCCAGGGACGAGGGGCTCTTGGTGGCCATTGAGCTCCGGAGGTTTGGGGACAGCCACGTCCGGGTGTCCAGGGCTGGGGACACTCAGCCCTGAGCCTTGGGGAGCCCTCAGATCTTGGGGTTCAGGGTTGATCCTCTCTGGTGCTGTGGGTTCAGCCACCTCCTGGGGAACAGTGACAGCTGTCCCCAAAGCCTGGGGGACACCCAGCTCCTCCGGTTTGGGGACAGCTGACTCCTGTCCCTGGGGGACATCCAGGTCCTGGGCTTTGGGGACCGCCATCTCCAGCCCCCCTGGCCCGTCCTGCTCCGACGCTCCGCTCCTGTTTGTCCCCTGTTCTTGGGGACCCCCTTGGGATGTCCCCAGGGCTCTCCGTGCAGGCGGGGGTCCCCCAGGGCCTGCAGAGAGGGGACACCCCCGTCAGGGATGGGGTGAGGGTGACACCCCCAGCTCCGGGGGGGTGGTGGCAGCTCCGTGTCCCCTCCCAGCCCTGGGGACGCACCGGTGGCCTCGCGGTTCCGGATGGTTTGGTTGATGCAGAACCTCCAGCGCCCCACGGGTGACGATTGGGGGGGTCCTTCCCCTGGTGGGGGGCGAGGGGTCAGCGGGTGGGGGGCGACCCCAGCCCCATCCCCTTCCCCACTACTCACCACCCGCTGGCGGCTCCAGGGGTCCCACCTGGGGGGAGACACATTTGGGGGGTCAGTGGGGGGGTCTGGGTGGAGGGAGGGGTGAGATGGGGGGGCAGGGGGAGCACCTGGGGGTCCGGGGCGGGGGTCCCGAGGAGCCCCCGTGCCTGCTCCACGATGGCCTTGAGCTCCTCCACGAACTTGTCCCGCTCCCCCTCCAGGACAAAGTTGTCCTCGACCTGTGAGGTGGACAGGGGTTGGGAAGGGGGACAGAGATTAGGGAAGGGGACATGGGGACACAAAGTGGGGAAGGGGACACAGGTTTAGAGAGGAGATATGGGTTGGGGGAGGGGAAACACATTGGGGAAGAGGACACGGTTTGGGGGGGACACAGATTGAGGGGGGGGAGAGAGATTGGGGAAGGGGACACAGTTTGGGAAGGGGGGCAGAGATTGGGGAAGGGGACACGGGCTGGGGACACAGGGACACAGATTGGGGAGGGGGACATGGGTTTGGGAAGGGGACATGGACTGGGGATAGGGGATAGAGACTGGGAAGGGGACACGGGCTGGGGACACGGGGACAGCTCGGGGGTCACCATGTAGCAGGCGATGTCCTCGGGCGCGTCCCCATCCACGTCAAACCTGAAGGTGACCATCTTGCTGTCGTGGGTCTCCAGCTGGCACTCCACCGTGTTGTCCCCAGCTGAGGACACCTGGGGGGTGGTGACACTGTGACCGTGCAGGGATGTCCCCATGCTGCCCCCCAGCCCCCAGCCCCGCCCTGACCTGCAGCACGGTGAGCTGGAAGCGGGCAGGGCGCTGGCACGACGCGCGGCGCTGCCGGGCACGCGGCCCGGGGACATCGGGGACATCGGGGACACGCAGCAGGGACGCGGCCTCGGCGGGCACCGAGGGGTCCTCAGGGCCAGGGAGCATCAGGGGTTGTGGCATTGGGGATGGTGGTGGCATCTCTGGGGCTGGTGGCATCCCCACGGCTGGTGGCATTGGGGATGGTGGTGGCATCTCCGGGGCTGGTGGCATCCCCATGGCTGGTGGCATCATGGATGGTGGTGGCATCTCTGGGGCTGGTGGCATCCCCATGGCTGGTGGCATCATGGATGGTGGTGGCATCTCTGGAGCTTGTGACATCCCTGGGGCTGGTGGCAGCACAGATGGAGGTGGCACCCCTGGGGCTGGTGGCATCACGGATGAAGTTGGCATCCCTTGGGCTGGTGGCATCATGGGTGGAGCTGGCATCCCTTGTGCTGGTGGCATCACCATGGCTGGTGGCATCACCATGGCTGGTGGCACCATGGATGGTGGTGGCATCTCTGAGGCTGGTGGCATCATGGATGGTGGTGGCATCCCTTGGGCAGGTGGCACCCCTGGGGCTGGTGACACTCCCATGACTGGTGGCATCACAGATGGAGGTGGCATTCCTTGGGCTGGTGGCATCATGGATGGAGGTGGCATCTCCGGGGCCGGTGACATCCCCATGACTGGTGTCATGACGGACAGTGGTGGAATCCCCAGAGCTGGTGACATCCCCACCACTGGTGGCATCCCTGGAGCTGGTGACATCCCTGGCACCAGCTGCGGCTGCATGGTGGGGACTGGCTGTGGTGGCATCCCCTGGGCTGGTGGCATCCCAGATGGCAGTGGCATTCCTGGACCTGGTGGCATCCCAGGGGCTGTTGGTGGCATTCCAAGGCCTGGCTGCAGCTGCATCATGGGGACCAACTGTGGTGGCACCCCAGCTGGGGCTGGCACTCCTGGACCAGGTGGCATCCCTTGGGCTGGGGTCACCCCTGGCACTGATGCCATTCCTTGGGCTGGTGTCACCCCTGGACCTGGTGTCATCCCTGGAGCTGGTGGCATCCCTGGCACTGATGCCATCCCCTGCGCTGGTGTCACCCCTGGAGCTGGTGGCATCCCTGGAGCTGATGGCATGCCTTGGGGTGGTGTCACCCCTGGCACTGATGTCATCCCCTGGACTGGTGTCACCCGTGGAGCTGGTGTCACCCCTTGGGCTGGTGACATTCCAGCTGGAGGTGGCACCCCCAGAGCTGGTGTCACCCCCAGAGCTGGTGTCACCCCCGGGGCCGGTGGCACTCCAGCAGGAGGTGGCACCCCTTGCGCTGGTGACACTCCAGGAGCCGCCGTCACCCCCGCAGCTGGCAGTGCCACCCCCGCTGCCACTCTCGGTGCCATCCCCGGCCCCGGTGCCCCGGGTGCCACCTGTGGCTGTGTCCCCACTGTCACCGACCCCCCGCCACAGCCACAGGGCTCCCCCTCAGGCCCAGGTGGCTCCGTGGTGGCTCCTCCGGTGCCATCCTCTGCTGTCCCCTCGGTCCCCTGGGTCACCTGCAGGACACAGGGCAGTGTCAGGGGGGTCTGGACCCCCCCAGGACCCCCCCAGTGTGACAGGCACTTACCGGTGGTGGCACAGGGGGGGACACCCCATCCTGGGCTCCCTGTGGGTACCCCCAGAGCTGCTCAGGTGCTCCGGTGACACTGCAGGGACCGGAGACATCTGGGGGAGGAACATTATCCGGGACCCCCTCGGCTGTGGGGAGGGAGCAAATGGGGGTCACTGCTGGGGGGAGTCTCACTGGGGGCAGGGGGCAGTTTGGGGGGGCTGAGGGCAGTTTGGGGGTACAAGGGGGGCAGTTTTGGGGGCAGTTTTGGGGGGTTTGGAACCATTTTAGGGGCCAGTTTGAGGGTCCGGGGCAGTTTTAGGGGTCAGTTGGAGGGTCTGGGGGCAGTTCTGGGTGTCCAGGGGCAGTTTTGAAAGCACTTGGGGCAGTTTTAGGGGACAGTTTGAGAGTCTCGGAGCAGTTCTGGGTGTCCAGGGGCAGTTCTGAGAGCACTGTGGGCAAGTTTGAAGGTCTGGGTGCAGTTCTGGGTGTCCAGGGGCAGTTTTGGAGGCACTGGGGGCAGTTTTAGTGGGCAATTTGAAGGTCTGGGTGCAGTTTTAGTGGGCAATTTGAAGGTCTGGGTGCAGTTCTGGGTGTCCAGGGGCAGTTTTGGAGGCACTGGGGGCAGTTTTAGGGGTCAGTTTGAAGGTCTGGAGCAGTTTTAGGGGGCAGTTTGAGGGTCTGGGTACAGTTCTGGATGTCCAGGGGCGGTTTTGGAGGCACTGGGGGCAGTTTTAGTGGGCAATTTGAAGGTCTGGGTACAGTTCTAGGTGTCCAGGGGCAGTTTTGGAGGCACTGGGGGCAGTTTTAGGGGTCAGTTTGAAGGTCTGGAGCAGTTTTAGGGGGCAGTTTGAGGGTCTGGGTACAGTTCTGGATGTCCAGGGGCAGTTTTGAGAGCACATGGGACAGTTCTAGGGGGCAGTTTGAAGGTCTGGAGCAGTTTTAGAGGGCATTTAGAGGGTCCAGGGGCAGTTTTGGGGTCTCACCAGGACCAGGAGGGGGCTGCTCCCACAGCAGCTGCTGCCTCACGTGCTGATCGACCTCGGTGTCCTCGCTCTCGGGGCCCCCCCGGCCCTCGGGGCCCCCCCTGCCCTCCGCCTGCTTCTTCTCCCGCGTCTTCCTCACCAGCGCCAGCCGGTCCCGGATGGATTTGGCCACGGCCTTGGAGTCGCTCTCGTGGAAGAACCCGGATTTCACCTGAGAGAGTGAATTTGGGGTGTCCAGGGGGGGCACCAAGAGCTGGGGGGCTCGGGGTTGGTTCCAGAGGGAATTTTGGGGGGGTGTCGGTTTTGGGAGAGGATCCACGTGATGTTCCGGGATGAATTTTTGGGGTATCAGTTTTGGGAGAGGTTCAAGGTGGGGTTTAGGGATCAATTTTGGGGGAGAGGTTCCAGGCGACGTTAAAGGATGAATTTTGGGGCATCATTGGTTTTGGAAGAAGTTCAAGGTAAGGTTCAGGGATGAATTTGGAGGATCGTTAGTGTTGGGAGAGGTTCAGGGATGAATTTTTGGGGTATCAGTTTTGGGAAAGGTCCAAGGTGAGGTTCAGGGATGAATTTTGGGGTGACATTTGTTGGGAAAGATGTTCAAGAAGAGTTGGAGGCACCAACTCTTGGGTTCCTGGGTAGCTTTTGAGCTGTCACTGCTTTTTGGGGTGCTCAAGATGAGCATGAGCCACAATTTTTGAGGGTTCATTGCATTTGGAGAGAATCAAGACCAACTAGAGGCCAACCCTGAAGGGTTTTGGGGTCACTCCTCACCATCTCATAGGCCACCTCCTCGGGGACATCAGCCTCCAGGTTGAAGCTGAACTCGATGGCCTCGTTGTCCTTGTGCTTGCCCTTGAGCTTTTTGGGGTCCTCCACCCAGAGCCGCAGCGCCAGCGCCGGGTCCAGCCCCGCGTCGTCCTCAGCCAGCTCCACGCGCAGCCCCGTGTCCTCGGCGAAGAACGCGTGGTCCAGCAGGTCCCGGATGGACAGCCTGGCATGGACGGGGTGTGTGGTCAGTGTGGTCAGTCCTGGGGGGCCGCAGGGGTCCCAGACCACCACCCCACCCCACCCCACCTCTCAGCCTTGTTCTGCCGGATGCAGCCCTCGATGATCTCCTTCACCTCGGGGTCCGTCACCTTGTGGAAACTCGCCGGCTTGATGCCCTGTGGGGGGACACGGTGACTTGGGGGGCTCTGAGGGAGGTTTGGGGGTCTCAGGGGAGGTTTGGGGGTCTCAGGAGTGGTGGGACACCCACGCTGGTGACTTTGCGGTAGATCTGGGCGGCGTTCTGGCACTCGGAGTAGGGGTACTCGGACGTGCCCATCTCCAGCATGCACATCCCGAAGGCGTAGACATCCACGGACTCATCGTAGCGCTCCTCGTACATCTCGGGGGCCATGAACTCGGGGGTCCCTGTGGGGTGGGCGGTCAGGGGGTGCCCTCAGGGGCGTCCCCAAGGTCCCCACGGCGCTCACCGATGACGCTCTTGGCGAAGGACGTGCGCATGAGCGTGGCCAGCCCCAGGTCGCCGATCTTGACGGAGCCGGTGGGGCCGGTGATGAAGATGTTGTCGCACTTGAGGTCGCGGTGGATGATGGGCGGCGTCCTCGTGTGCAGGAACTGCAGCCCCTTCAGGATCTGCCGGCACCAGCTCCGCAGCACCTTCGGCTTCATCACCTTGAACCTCTTGAGGTACCTGTGGGGTCCCGTCAGCCACGCCCGGACCCCCCCAAGGTGTCCCCCCGCGCCCCCAACTCACGTCTTGAGGGTGCCCGAGGTCATGAGCTCGGTGACGAGGACGATGCACTTCTTGCCGCGGAGCGAGGACTCCCAGGAGTCGTAGAAGCGGACGATGTTGGGGTGCTGCAGCCCCTTGAGCATCTCGGCCTCCTCCTTGAAGCGCTGCTGCTCCGCCTTGGTCAGCTTGCGGTCCTGGGGGACACAGACACACCCCAAAGTCCAGCAGCAGCATCAGCATTAGCAGCCCCCAGCCCCAGGATCATCATCATCATCATCATCATCATCATCATCATTATCATTGTTTTCATCATCATTCTCCAGCCCCAGGATCATCATCATGCCTAAACCTCAGGGATGTAGACAGCACCATCATCATCATCCTCCAACTCCAGTATCATCATCATCATCACCATCATCCCCAAATTCCAGGGCGTCATCATCATCATCACCATCATCACCCCCAAACTCCAGAGTTGTCGTCATCACCATCATCATTATTCCCCAAGTCCAGTATCATCATCATCATCACCATCAACCCCAAACTCCAGGGTTGTCACCATCATCATCACCATCATCATCATCCCCATCATCATTATTCCCCAACCCCAGTATCACCATCATCCCTAAACCTCAAGATCATTGCCAGCAACATCAACATCAACATCATCATCTCCCAACTCCAGGGTCAGCATCCTCACCCCCAAACTTCATCATCATCATCCTCACCCCCAGTTTCAGGGGGTAACAGAGCACTTTGGGGGACAAACAGCTCAATTTGGGGGGAATTGATGGGATTTGGGGTGGCTGTGGGGTCAGCTGTGAGGTTCATGGTGATTTTGGGGTCTTGATTTCAGGGGCCAGTCAGGAGGTTCATGATGAATTTTGGGGTGTCCTTATCTTTGGGAGGGGCTCAAGGTGAGCTGAAAAGTTCATGGGTGGATTTTGGAGATCACTGATATTGGAAGAGCCTCAAAATGAGTTTGAGGAGCCAATCACAGCTTTGGAAAGGTTTCAACGTCAATTTGTGGTGCCAATGATGAATTTGAGAGGGTTCATGATGGATTTTGGGGTGTCCTAATCTCTGGGAGGGGTTCAAGATGAGATCAAAGGATCAACTATAGGATTCAAGAGTAGATTTTCGAGATCACTAATTTTGGAAGAACCTCAAAATGAGTTTGAGAAACCAATTGCAGCTTTGGAAGGGCTTCAACATCAATTTGTGGTGCCAGTCAAGGGGTTCATGATGAATTTTGGGGTTTGGGAGAGCTTCAAAGGACCAATTGTGGAATTCAAGAGAGGATTTTGGGGATCACTGATATCAGAACAGCCTCAAGCTGAGCTCGAGGAGCCACTCACAGCTTTGGAAGAAGTTCAACACCAACTTGAGTGGCCAATCAGGCACTTCATGACAAATTTTGGGGTGTCCCCATCTCCCAAAGAGCCTCAAACCCCCAAGAACCCACCAAAACCCCACCATCATCTCCCTCTAACCCTAAAAAAACCAACTTCACCTCCCACCCACCACCTCACGACCCCCAACCCCCCCAAAACTCCCCCCCACGACCCCCCCGCCGGCTCGGGGCTCACCTGCAGCTCACACCAGGCCACCTCCACCCAGGTGTCGGTGTCGAAGCCCTTGAAGACCGTCTTGAAGGCGCCGCGCCCCAGCTCGATGTCGAACTTGAGGAAGCGGCCGCCGGGCGAGGTGGCCACGGCCTTCATCTCCGCCTCCTCCTCGCCCTCCTCGCCGCCCCCGAGCCGGGGGTCGCCCCGCGGGCCGGGGTCGCCGCCGCGCTCGCCCCGCTCCTCCTCCTCCAGCACCTCCACGCTCTTGCGGAAGAAGCGTTTTGGGGGGGCCGGGGGAGTTTTGGGGTCCCCCAGATCGGCGGCCATGGTTGTCCCCACTCCCCCACCCCCAATTTTAGGGGGTGACCCCCCCCCCCACTCCCGCCGCCGCCCCCTTGCCAGCCCCTGCCGCCCCTATGGATGAAGGAGGGGAGGGGGCCGCGTGTCCGGGGGTGGTTTAGGGGGTCCGGGGGGGGTCACCTCGATTTTAGGGGTGTCCCCCCCCCTCGGGTGGCACCGGCGGTGGCCGCGTCACCCCCTTCCCCGCGGGGGGGGACCTGCGAGGGAGACAAAGAGGCTTCGATGGGGCGCGGGGAGGGGGGCAATCAAGGAGGGGGGGTACGGTGTAATTAATAAGGGCAGCGGGGTTAATTGGGGGGGTCCCCGAAATCTGGGGGGGGTGGAAGCATCCCCCCGGCCCCCCCCCCCCCGCACAGCGGCTGCTCTTCCTGCGGAGGAAGGACTTCCGGGGGCAGCCCCCCCCCCAAAAGGATGCTACAGGTACGCCCGCCCCCAAGGATGCCGTAGGTACCCTCGGGATACTCTGGGGGGCTCTGGGTACCCCCCAAGGGTGCCATAGGTACCCCGCAAGGGTGCTGTGTGTACCCTCAGCCCCCCCCCGCTGCCACAGGTATCCCCCCTTAGGGTGCCACAGGTACCTCAGCCCGCCCACCCTGCTGTGGGGCTCCCTATGGATCCTATAGGGGTGGGGTGTGCCCAGTTCTGATCCCTATAACCCCCCTGGACCACCACAGCCCCCTCCCCAGTTCCTGTGTGTACCCTATAGCCCGCCCTGTGCCCCCCTATACCCCATAGAGCTCCCTAGCCCCTAAATCCCCCATGTTCCACAGAGCCCCTACAGCCCCTGTGCTCCCCTACACCCCATAGAGCCCCCCAGCCCCTAAATCCCCTATACCCCATACAGCCCCCCAGCCCCTAAATCCCCTATACCCCATAGAGCCCCCCAGCCCCTCAAGCCCCTGTGCCCCCCTATACCTCAGACAGCTCCCCAGCCCCTATACCTCATTCAGAGAGCTCCCCAGTCCCTATAGCTCCTATACCCCATAGAACCCCTAAGCCCCTATAACCTATAGAGACCCCAGCCCCTATAAGCCCTATACCCCATAGAGCCCCCCCAGCCCCTATAGCCTGTGTCCCCTATACCCCACGGAGCCCCCTAGAGCTCCTGTGTGCCCTGCACCACCTATAGTGCCCCCATATCCCCCACAGTCCCCTCTGCCCTATATCCTGCCTCTGCCCCATATCCCCCCTGTGCCTCCATATCCCCCACAACCACCTGTGCCCCACATTTTCCCTGTCCCCTCATATCCCCCATAACCACCTGTGCTCTATATCCTCTGTCTGCCGCATATCCCCCCTGTGCCCTATATCCTCCCTCTCTCCCCTATCCACCCTCTGCCCCATATACCCCCTGTGCCCCATACCCCCCCCAGCCCCCCGAACAGACCCCAACCCCCCCACGCCCCCACCCTCTCAGCCCCCTCACGTGACCACCGCCGCGCGGGGGCTGGCGGGAGCTGTAGTCCCGTCCTACCTCTGCCTGAGGCCACGCCCCTCAATACCACCCCCTTCGCCACGCCCCCACGCGTCCATCGGCGACTCGGGGATCGCTCCGTGCCTCGCTCGCTCGTGGATTCGGCGCTCGGCCGCGCCGCCTGCGCAGCGCCGTCATGGCGGCCCCCGGGGTGGAGGCGCGGGCGCTGTTCGCGGAGGGGGTTCGGGCCGTGCTGGGGGGGTGGGCGGCGCTGCAGGTGAGGGGGGACACCGGGGACACCTGGGGACAGCTTGGGGGGACACTGGGGACAGTGCTGGGGGAGCGGGCGGCGCTGCGGATGAGGAGGGGACAGCGTGAGGGGGCTCCGAGGGGCACTTGGGGACACAGCGGGGGCACCCCGGGACCAGCACCGGGTGTCCCCATGTCCCCCCCGGGCTGTCCCCCCAGCTGGCGGTGGCACAGGGCTTCGGGGGGCCGCAGGGTCCCGAAAAGGCTGCGTGGCTCAGCTCGGCGCTGCTCGATTTTTTCACGCAGAACGGTGCGTGCTGCCCCTCCCCCACCCCGGAGGGAGGGAGGGTCCTTGGTGGGGAGGGAGGGGCAGAGGTGACACCCCCCGATCCCCCCCCAGCTGACCTGGAGCAGGAGGAGGTTGAAGATTTCCTGGCCGAGGTGATGGACAACGAGTTCGACACGGTGGTGGAGGACGGCAGCCTGCAGCAGGTGGGCTCCCAGTACGGACCAGTATGGACCAGTATGGAGTAGAGAGCTCCCAGCAGCTGGCCAGCCTCCCCCAGGGACTCCCAGTACAGCCCAGTTTGTCCTCGGGCTGCTCTCAGCATCTTCTAGTGGCTTTTGTCCCTTCCTGCTACCCTTGTTCCCTTCCCAAGTGCTCCCAGTAGCTCCCAGTATAAACCAGTATGGACCAGGATGTTCCCAGTAGCCACTCCCAGTTCATCCCAGTCCATCCCCAGGCTGTTACCATCATCCTTTGGTGCTCCCAGCGCCTCCCAGTACAGACCAGTCTGTTCTCAGTGCTCTTTTACTTCCTCCCAGTACATTCCAGTCTCAGAAATCACCCTCCAGAGCCATCCCAGTACATACCAGTACCCTCCCCGGAGGTTCCCAGTCCATCCCAGTCCTCTCCCCAGTGGTTCCCAGTCTATCCCAGTCCCTCCCACTGGTTCCCAGTCCCTCCCAGTGGCTCCCAGTCCATCCCAGTGTCCCCCTGCAGGTGAGCCGGGAGCTGGTGACCCTTTTTGCCCGGGCACGGGGAGGGGACGTTGGGGGGGTGGGGGCGGCCCTGGGGGCTCTGGCCCGGCGTGGCCCCGCCCTGGCCGCTGCCCTGGCCACCGCCCGCCCGGGGGGAGACCCCCAGAGCCCCCCCGGGACCCCCCCCACAGCCCCCCGGAACCCCCCGGAGCGAGGGGAGGAGGAGGAAGAGGAGGAGAGCGGCGAGGAAGAGGAGGAGGTGAGGGGGTGACATTGGGATGCTGTCATGCATGGCTGATGATGTCATTGTTCGGGAGCCAATTGGATTGGGAGGGTGCTGATGATGTCATCAAAGTGGGTGGGGATGGGGTGATGATGTCATGGGGTGTAACTGGGAGGGGATACTGATGATGTCATTAAATTGGGGAGGTGGTGACTCCCCAGGACCCCCAAGTGAGGAGGGGCTTAGGGGTGATGATGTCGTTCCTGATGATGTCATTCAGTCCTGATGATGTCATCAAGTGGGGGGGGAAAAAAGGAGTGGGGGTGGAGCAGTGATGGCATCACCAAATTTAGGAAGAGGGACCCCCAGGACCCCTGTGATGGAAGGGGAGGGGCACTAATGATGTCACCAAGGGGGCATGTGACACTGATGACGTCATTGTCCCCCCCAGGCCATGGAGTGCGGGACGCCCCCGCCCCCCTCGGACGGCTGGACCGTGGTGCAGCGGCGGCGGCGGCGATGATGGGGGGAGGGGTGTCCTGTGTGTCCCCCCCCAGCTTGGGGGACACCCCTCCCCCACCCTGCTCCCCAAACTGGGGGGGAATAAAGGCCCCTCCCCCCATGGGGGTGTGGGAAGAGGAGTCGTGTGATTATTGGAGGGAGAGGCCACTTAGAGGCCACTGGGACCCCAGCGATCCCTCCCAGTTTAACCCAGTTCCTCCCAGTATAACCCACTCCATCCCAGTGCCCCCGCCCCTCACCCAGCCCCGCCCATCATGGCGGCCGCTCTGAGAGCTCCAGGGCAGTGGGGGGCGTGGCTTTCTCACCGCGCGTTGTGATTGGCTGCACTGTGCATCAGTGAGAACGCCCTTCGCCTTCTGACGCGGTGATTGGTTGGCTAAAGCAGCGGCGAGCGGCGATTAGTCAGCTAGGCTTAAATAGGGTGGGCGCAGGCGCTGATTGGTCGCCACCGTTCGGGTGGGCGGAGCGAGCCGGGAGCGCGGGAAGACGGGGCGGCAATGGCGGCGCGGCTGGAGCGCGCGAGGGGGTGAGCGCGCGACCCCCTCCCCAAGGCGGGAACCCCTGAGGGCTGCCCGGCCGCCATCTTGGCTCGGGGGCGTCGGCAGCGGCCCCCACCACCCTGCGGGGGCCTCGGGGGGTTCACTGGGTGCCATTGGGGTCCCTGAGGGTTCACCGGGTCCTTACGGGCTCTTTGGGATGATTCCCAGCCCCACACGGGGCACTGCAGTGTGTCCGTGCCCTCACGTATCCTGAGGGCTGTGGGGATGGGGGGGGGGGGGGGGGCGTCGCTGAGGGGTCTCCTCATCCCCACGGGGGTCTCCGAGACCCCACGCGTGTCCGAGGAGGGCTCCTGGTTGTCTCCATGTCCCCACTCGTGTCACTGCGGGATAACGGGGGGATGTCTCCCTCATCCCCACCCGTGTCCCCACACTTGTCCCCAGCGCGCTGGCAGCGCTTGAGGCTGGCCTGGAGTTGGAGGAGGAGGAGGGTGATGTCCCCACCCGAGTCCTGGTGGAACATCAAATGGTGAGACCCCAAAACTGCCCCACAGCACCTCAGAATAGACCTGCAGCACCCACAGCTGTCCCTGGTCTCCTCATGTGCTCCCTAACACCCCCCACATCTGCCCTAAAATTACTTCTAACCCCCCCCCCAAATTTCTGACAGCTGCCTTATCTGGCCTTGATTCTTTTAGTGACTCCCATATTTATTTGCTAAACTTTCTTAACTGCCCTATTTTCTGTCATTCTCTGTGCCCCGTTATTTTTCTCAAAAATTTTCCTTTGTCCCCCCAGTTCTCCCCTCCACACCCCAATTTTTCCTCGACACCTCTAACACCTGCTCTGACCTCTCCCAAACCCCTTTGGCACCCTAAATCTCCTGTGACACCCCAAACCTGTCCCCCAGGACACCCGGAGGAAGCAGAAGCTGCTCCTGTCCCAGTTCCGGGTGCTGAAGCTGCTCCTGGGGGTCATCGAGAACCCGGGGCAGCCCCCAGCCCCCACCGACCTGCGTGAGCCCCCAAACTGAAGCCCAAAACGTTCTGACCCCTAAACTGAACCCCAAAACCTTCTGAGCCGTCAAACTGGACCCAGAGCTGCCCTCAGCCTGCCTGAGCCCCCCAAAACCCCCTGGGTCTGGTTTGGGGGTTCCTGTGTTCCCCCTGGGACAGGGGTTTGGGGGTTCGTGGGTCCCCTTTGGGCATTCCTGAGTCCCTTTAGGGCAGGGGTTTGAGGGTTCCTGGGTCCAGTTTGGGGCAGGGGTTTGGGGGTTCTTAGGTCCCCTTGGGGAGGGGATATTTGGGAATTCCCATACATCTGAGTCCAGTTTGGGGGTTCCTGGGTCTGGTTTGGGGGTTCTGGGGTTTGGTTTGGGGCAGGGGTTTGGGGGTTCCTGGGTCCAGTTTGGGGGTTCCTAGGTCCCCTTGTGGAGGGAGCTCAGGGAATATTTGGGAGTTCCTATACATCTGTGTCCACTTTGGGGGTTTCTGGGTCCCCTTGGGAAGGGGATATTTGGAAATTGCCATACATCTGAGTCCAGTTTGGGGGTTCCTGGATCCAGTTTGGGAGTTCCCAGGACCCCTTTGGGAGGGATTGTTGATTCCCAGGTCCCTTTTGGGGTCCCTCCCGATTTGGGGGGGCTGATTTGGGGCTCCCCCCAGGCGAGGCGATGGCCCAGGCTCGGGGGCGCTGGCAGGAGCTGAAGGCCAAGTATGGGGAGGCCCTGGGGGCCCTGGAGGAGGCCGTGCCCGCTGCCCTGGAGCAGCTGGAGCGGGGCCAGCAGCTGCTGCAGCGAGGGAAGGCAGCCCTGGAGGCGCGGCTGGAACAGGTACGGGGGTCCCAGGGGGGCTGGGGGTCCCTGGGGGGCTGAGGAGATGGGGGTCCCGGGGGGGCTCGAGGGGCAGGAGTCACTGGGGGCACAATGTGGGTCTGGGGGTTCCTCTGGGGGCACAGTATGGGTCTGAGGGCTCCTCTGTGGGCACACTGTGGGTCTGGGGGCTCCTCTGTGGGCACAGTGTGGGTCCAGGGGCTCCTCTGGGGGTTGGGGGCACAGTGTGGATCTGGGGGCTCCTCTGGGGGTTCCTTTGTGGGCACAGAGTGGGTCTGGGGGCACAGCGTGGGTCTGGGGGCACAGTGTGGGTCTGGGGGCTCCTCTGGGGGCACAGTGTGGGTCTGGGGGCTCCCATGGGTGCTGTCCCTCTCCCCCCCCAGCAAGAAGAGCTGAAGGTGAAGGTGCGTGAGGCCACAGAGAGACGGGACCAGGTGAGATTTGGGGACACATTTTGGGGTCCCCCTGCCCTGTGGGGGCTCCTGGTGGGTCCCACTTGCCTTGGGGTGCCCCTGCCCACGGTGGGGTCCGTTCTGGGATTCCTTCTCCCTTCGGGTCTCAGCTCCTTCTCCCCCTTTTAGGGTCTACCCCCAGTTTAGGATCTCTTTCCTCTGCAATCTGGGGTCTTTTTCTCCCCAAATTTGGGGTATTTTCCCCTCCTAATTGGAGTTTGTCTCTCCCAGTTTGAGGTTTCTTTCCCCCTAAATTTGGGGTCTCCTTCCGCCTAAATTTGGGGTCTCATTCTCCCCTAGTCTAAGATATTTTGGCTCCCAAATGTGGGGTCTCTTTCCCTTCTAATTTGGGGTGTTTTCCCCCAATTTGGGATCTCTTTTTCCCCTCCTAGTTGGAGTTTGTCTCTCCCAATTTGGGGTCTCTTTCCCCTAAATTTGGGGTCTCATTCTCCCCTAGTCTGAGATACTTTTCCTCCCAAATGTGGGGTCTCTTTCCCCTCTAATTTGGGGTCTTTTCCTCCCAATTTGGGGTTTCTTTCTCCCCCCAGCTGCTCCAGCAGGTTCAGGAGCGGCGCCTGCAGCGGCTCCGGCGCCAGGAGGAGATGCAGGGACTGTGGGACAGAGTGGCCAGGTGAGGGGTGGGGACAGGTCAGGGGACAGGGGAGGGGACAGAGGACGGGTGAGGGGGTCATGGGAGACCACAGGTGAGGAGGGTGAGGTGTGGAGTTGGGAGCCCCTGAGATTTTGGGGGGGTCCTGAGAGGAACCCAGGAGTTTGGGGGTACCTCCAATGTTGGGGAGAGCCCTAGAAAAGACCCAGTAGGGGCTCCTGGGATAGTGGGAAGGACCCAGGAATTTTAGGGGGGGTGATCGTGTCACCCCCACCCACATTCTGTCATTTCCCACAGGGTCAAGGCCTCGTGTGAGCTGTACCAGACCCTGGCAGGGGCCCAGGTGCTGCCCCCCTCGCCAGGGACCCCCAAGAAGGAGCTGGAGCTGGGACTCCCTCCTGGCTCCTCCCATTCCCTGCCCCACCTTCGCCTGTCCCTCACCCCCAGTGGGGAGGTCCAACTGCAGGTGAGTGGTTTAGGGGGGATTTTGGGGGGCTGGGGAGGATTTGGGGGCTTGGGGAAAGAAATTGGGGGCTGAGAGGGCACTGGGGAGAATTTAGGGGAGCACTGAGAGCTGGGGCAGGAGGAATTTTTGGGGGTCAGGATGGTTGTGGGGACGCACTTTGGGGTTTGGGGGTGTCAGGGGGGTTCTGGGTGGTTTTGGGGTCTCACCACCTCCCTTTTTTGCCCCCAGGAACCCCCCCTGGGGCTGCCCCCTCCCCTGGGCCCCGGGCTGCTGGAGCTGCAGCAGCGCTGCTGGGAGAGCTGGAGCCTCTGGGAGGAGGTGGCACACCTGAGGAACAGGTGAGGGGGGCTTTGGGGGGCTTTGAGGGAGGTTGGGGGGGTCTTTGGGGTAGGTCTGAAGGGTCTAGAGGGTAACTGGGAGGGGTAGGGGCATTTAGGAGGTTAATTGGGGGGGCTATGGGAGAGGTTAGGGGGATCTTTGTAGAAGGTTTTGGGGCAGTTCTGGGGGGGCTTTGGGATAATTGCCAGGGTAGGGGGTTGACTGGGGGGGCTGGGGGTTAATTGGGGGGCTCACCCCTACCCCTTGGTGATCCCCCAGGTTCGCCCTGGACTGGCAGCCGGACCTGGGGCTCCTGCAGGTCCTGGGGGGCCCCCAGGTTGCCCAGACCCTCTGGACGCTGCAGGTGGAGCCGGGGTACCCCAAGAATGGGGGAGTGAAACTGCTGCCCCCCACAAAGGGAGCGCCCCCCATTCCTGTGAGTCCTTTGGGGGTGTCTGTGGGGTGTTTGGGGGTCCCTCAGAGGGGATTTGGGGTCTGTGGGACAGGTTTAGGGATCCAGCGGCAATTTGAGAGTCCCCGGTGGTGGGTTGGGAGTCCTGGGGAAGCACCTGGGGGTCACTGAGGGCAATTTTGGGGTTCCCAGCAGCACTGGGGGGTGCCTGGAGGTGGTTTGGGGGTCCTTGGGGGTGACTGAGGGCAATTTTGGGGGTCCCAGACACACTGGGAGATCCTGGGGGTGGTTTGGGGGGTCACTTGGGGATCATTGAGGGCAATCTGGGGGTGTCCCAGAGGCAATTTGGGGGTGTCCCAGAGGCACTTGGGCATCCTGGAGATGGTTTTAGGGTTCTTGGTGGGTTTGAGGGGGCTCTCAAGGGGGCACAGGGGGGGTCCTGGGAGTGACCCCCAAACCCCTTTTTCCTCCACAGGCACCCCCAGACCCCCCCACTCTGACACGGTGGCTGGAGCTGCTGGTGGGGGGGGGGTCCTGAAAAGAGGGGATCCCCCTTTATCCCTCCCCCCCCATAAAAAAACCCACTGCACCCCAATAAACTCACGGCCACCCCTTCTCCAGCTCTGTCTCACCCCAAAAAAAAAAACATTTCTGGGGGTTTGCAGGAGCAGCTTTATTGTGGGGAGGGGGCTCTGGGGGTCGGGGGTTTTGGCATGCCGGGGGTCCCCCAATCCGGGGGTCCCTACGGGGGGGGGTCGGCACCGCGCCGCTTGGGCTGGTTGCGCTCGGGGTGCAGCAGGATCACGTAGACCTTGGGGGCGTAGAGGAGCCCCAGGGGCACCGAGGCCGACAGGGACATGGACACCGTCAGTGTGGCCGTCTGCACGTGCACCTGCACCCCAAAAACGGTACCCCAAAGTCCTACTGATCGCAAAATGCCACTGACCCCAAAGTCCTCCATCCCAAATCCCACTGACCCCAAAAACAAGCATCCCCAAATCCCACTGATGCCTAAATCCCATTGAATCCAAAATAGGGACCCCGCCACCAGGGGACCTTCAAATACCCCTAGGAACCCCCCAAACCCCCCTCCTCATCCTCTGCCAACTGGGCATTGCCAAAGATGGGCCTGAAGGTGCAGCAGAGCACATGTACCCACAGTGATCCCCAAATACCCCCAGGGACCCCAAACCCCCCTCCTCACCCTCTCTGCCAACTGGGCGGTGCCAAAGATGGGCTCAAAGACAAACCAGACAATGTGTGCCCATGCTGATCCCCCAAATACCCCCAAGGACCCCCCAAATACCCCCAGGGATCCCCCAGAGACCCCCCCTAATACCCCCAGGGACCCCAAACCCCCCTCCTCACCCTCTCTGCCGACTGGGCGGCGCCGAAGAAGATGGGCCCGAAGGCGAGCCACACCACGCACGTGGTGTACATGGCGAAGCCGATGGGCTTGGCCTCGTTGAAGGTCTCGGGGACGCCGCGCGCTTTGACGGCGTACACGGTGCAGGTGAGCATCAGCAGCAGCGCATAGGCCAGGCAGGCCAGCGTGGCCCCCTCGGCCATGTCGCACCGCAGGACCCCCCGTGCCGCCTCGGGGTCGGGGGTCCGGCCCATCTCGTAGTCGATGAGGGCGTGGGGTGGCCGCACCAGCAGCCAGGTGGCCGCGGCCACCAGCTGCAGCCCGCTGAGCGTGAAGGTGATGACCAGCTGCGAGGTGGGGCTGATGAAGCGTGGCGGTGTCACCGAGCGCTTCCCTGCGGGGTACGGTGGGTTATGGGGGGCTGCTGGCACCCCCAGAGCTCACCTGGCCTGAAGGGCTGGGGGTACCCCGTGTCACTCAGCCTGGTCTGGAACCCCAACACTTTTGGAGGCCCTGGAAGTCACCTCCCTTGGTGACTCCCCCTCCCCCACAGGGCGGGGACCCTGTCCCATGTCCCTCATGCAGCCCCTTACCCCAAGCTCTCACCCCCCAGTGCCCCTCACTGCTGCCCAAAGCCCCTCACTGTGTCTTCCCACCCCACTGTGCCCCCATGCCCCTCACCCTGCTCCAAGATGTGGCAATGCGGTTGGTCTTGGTGAGATCATGGCGTGGGTGAGGCCCCAGCCCCTCACCCTGTGCCCCCCAGCCCCTCACCCTGCTCGAAGATGTAGATTGATCTTGCTGAGAGCATGGCACAGGTGAGACCCCAGCCCCTCACCCTATGCCCCCCAGCCCCTCACCCTGCTCGAAGATGCGGTAGATGCGGTTTGTCTTGGTCAGCAGTGCAGCGTAGGTCAGGCTCATCCCCATACCCAGGAAGAGCCTCCGCAGGGCGCAGACCCCCACGCCGGGCTCGGCCACCATGAGGAAGGTGATGGCGTAGACCAGGGCGATTCCGGCCAGCAGGACGTAGCTCAGCTCTCGCCCCGACGCTTTGACGATGGGCGTCTCGTGGTGCCGCACGAAGGTGGCCAGCACGAAGGCGGTGGCCATGAGCCCCAGCGTGGCCAGGGCCAGCGGGACGGCGGCGCAGGGGTGGCCCCAGCTGAGGCGCAGCACGGGCGTGGGGCGGCAGGCGGTGCGGTTGGGCGTGGGGCGCAGGTGAGAGGCGCAGGGCAGGCAGGTGAACAGGTCGGCCCGGTACTGGTAGCCCCCGCAGAGCTCGCAGTGCCAGCAGCACGGAACCCCCTTCACCGGCTTCTTGCGCTCGCCGGGGCCGCACGGCAGGCTGCACACCGAGGGTGGCGGCGATGACGAGTTGGAGCCCCAGGCCATGGCGTCCTCCTGGTGGGGGAACGGTCAGGGACACCCCAAACCTCCCCAGGGACATCTTGAACACCCCAGGGATACCTCAAATCCCCTCATGGACACCCCAAACACCCCAGGCACACCCCAAACACCCCAGGAACACCCCAAACCTCCCCAGGGACACCCTAAACAGCCAATGGAAAACCCAAACACCCCCCCCCATGGACACCTCAAGCCCCCCATGCACACCCCAAATACCCCAGGGAAAACCCAAACCTCCCCAGGGACACCCCAAACCTCCTCAGAGACCCCCCCACAAACTTCCCATACAGGCACCCCATGGTTCCCCCAAGTCCCCCCACCAGGGACAACAGGGTATCCCCCACCCAGTGCCCCCAGTTGGCCACTGGGATCCCCCCAGCTGACCCTGGGGGGCACCCCATGGCTCTGGGGGGCTCGGCGGTCCCAGACCCACCTGCAGGTGCAGCCCCTGCACCCACTGCCCCACAGCCCGGTAGGCCCCGGTGCCGTTGCCCCCCTGGAACTGGAAGATGTCGTAGCGCCCGGGGGCGTCCCCGTTCTCGTTGAAGGACACCGGTGTTCCCGCACTGCCTGCACACCAGTATGGACCAGTATAAACCAGTAACCACCAGTATAGGTCAGGGACATCCCCCACCAGCCCCGCAGAAAAGGTCAGTGACCCCCTAGCCCCGACATGCCCCCAGTACAAGGCAAACCGGTACTCCCAGTATGGTTACCAGCGCACCCATCCCCTTCCCAGTGCCCCACAGTGGCTCCCAGTGCCTCCCAGTATGGTCTCCAGTGCCACCATCCCCTTCCCAGTGCCTCCCACTATATCCCAGTAACTCCCAGTACGGTCTCCAGTGCCCCCAGCTCCCTCCTCGTGCCACCCCAGTATATCCCAGTAACTCCCAGTATGGTCTCCAGCACCTCCAGCTCCCTCCCAGTGCCCCCCCAGTATATCCCAGTGCCTCTCAGTTGTTCCCAGTATGGTCCCCAGTACCCGCCCCCCCATATCCCAGTAGGCTCCCAGTGCCCCCAGTACCGTTGAAGGCCACCCTGCGGATGTGGGTGAGCAGGCGGCGCCCGTCGGGGGGGTCCATGTGGGCACAGAGCCCCCCGCCCGGGCAGGCCTCGCCCAGCATCGAGTGCAGCCCATGGGCCATGGCCAGCACGGCGTCGATGACGAACTGAACCTTCCCCTCCTGCTCGTAGGGCGAGTCCCGCCCGATGCGCTCCCGCCCTGGGGACCAGAGACTCCACATGGACACCTCAAACCCACCACAGCACCCCAAACCTGCCATGGGCACTCCAAAGCCACCAGGAGCACCCCAAACCAGTTATGGACACCCCACCTTCCCCTCCTGCTCGTAGGGTGAGTCCCGCCCGATGCGCTCCAACCCTGGGGGACCAGAGACCCCACATGGGCACCCCAAACCTGCCACAGCACCCTAAACCTGCCAGGGACACCCTAAACTTACCTGTGGCATCCCTGTGGGGTCTCTTTGGGGCAGGATCTCTGTGGGGCCCCTATGGGGAAGGGTACTTATGGGTTCCCCATGGGGTCTCCATGGGGTCCCTCTAGGGTCCCTATAGGGCAGGCTACCTGTGGGGTCCCTATGGGGTCTCTATGGGTTCTCTATAGGGTCCCTATGGGGCAGGGTACCTGTGGGGTCTCTATGGGTTTCTATGGGGTCCCTGTGGGGTCTCTATGGGTTCTCTATGGGGTTCCTGTGGGGCAGGGTACCTGTGGGGTCTCTATGGGTTTCTATGGGGTCCCTGTGGGGTCTCTATGAGTTCTCTATAGGGTCCCTATGGGGCAGGGTACCTGTGGGGTCTCTATGGGTTTCTATGGGGTCCCTGTGGGGTCTCTATGGGTTCTCTATGGGGTCCCTATGGGGCAGGGTACCTGTGCACTTGCGCACGGGCGTGCCGGGTGCCCCCGCGGGGTCCCCGTGGGGCGCGGTGCCGTGGGGCAGCCGGCAGTTGAAATCGTCCTCCCAGAACTCGTGGAACCAGAGGTTGCGGCGGTTGTTCTCCAGCGAGCGCGACGTGAAGTACTCATCAAAGCCTGGGGGGGACACGGGGACACCGCGGGGTCAGGGGGGGACCCCATAGAGCCACCGGGGTCAGGGGGGGACCCCACAGAGTCACCAGGGACCCTACAGGGTCACAGGGACCTCACGGAGCCATGGGGACCCCCTGGGGACATGGGGACCCCACAGAGCCATGGGGTCCCACAGAATCCTGGAGTGTCCCATGAGCCCCCTAAACCACCCAGGTCCCCACAGAGCCCCTTCTGAGCCCACCTGGGTCCCCTCAGAACCCCTCAGGTCTCCCCAAAGCCCCCTAAGAGTGCCCCTGGAGCTCCCAGTCCCACCCCAGCAACCTCCAGTCTCTCCCAGTCCCTCTGAATTCACCCCAGTCTCTCCTAATAACTTCCCAGTAGCCCCCAGTCCCTCCCAGTAGCCTCCAGTCCATTCCAGTAGTCCCCAATCCTTCCCAGTAGCCCTCAGTCCATCCAGTAGCCCCCAGTCCATCCCAGTTTCCCCAGCCTTCAGTCTCCCCAGTCCCCCAGCGTCCCTTATCCCCCCAGTCCATCCCAGCGTTCCCAGTCCCCCCAGTCCCTCCCAGTGTCTCCAGTCTCCCCAGTGCCCCCAGTCCCTCCCAGGGTTCCCAGTGTTCCCAGTCCCCCAGTCCTTCCCAGTCCCTCCCAGTGCTCACCGGGCACCGAGGCTCGTTTGGGCAGGATGGTGATGGCCCCGTCAGCCGCGTCCTCCAGG